CCAATGCACAGCAATAGCAAGATCATTCCATAGGTGTAGACATCTGTGGAAGTATAGATGTCCTGCTTTTAAATTCAGGAGGTGTTCATAAGCAGAAAACAAATGGAGGCGACTAAACTACTTTATTCTGCAACTCAGGTAAAATCAAAGTCCCCAGTGATTCATCGCTTGATTTACATCAAAATGCATGGTTTCCACGCAGAGAGCCATTCCTTATATTAGTTACATGCAGAGCCTGCATGCCTTGTGCCTCCCCACTCATTACTTTTACAATCTTATAAGAATTTAAAGAACTAACTAGCCCAACTCTCACCTGCACAAAAGAGAACTATTAAATATATCATAGGAACAGATTTCAAGAAAAATTACATTATTCCAGATTCCTTCTTCTGAAACATCCAAGTTTTATGATATTCTGCTGCCCTTACAATGACTTGCTCTATTACGTCAGCTCCGGATGAATACCCTTAAGCAAGACTTTCTTGTTCTAGATTGTCAGCACATAGGAGTGGATGTTTGATTCCGTATCAAACTGTATTGTCTTCATAGAGTTCCCCAGAGCTCATGTAGTTCAGTATTCCTGAATGAGAGTACATCCGGTAGCACAGGAAGTCACTTCTGCACCAAAATAGTTTAATTGTGTACAGTCCTCTTGTCCATGCTGTATTTCATTGTATTCATCAGACTCTTTCATGTTGTTGCTTTCTAGTTTCCACCCAGCTGACCTTTCAGCTACATAGTTAGTCTGGCTGAAAAAAGACAAAAGTCCATCCAGTTCAACCATTAAAAAAAAAAGAAAAAAAAAAAGTTATAATCCTATACCCACAATTGATTCAGAGGAAGGCAAAAAACCCAGCGAAGCATGATCCAATTTGCTCCTGCAAGGAAAATAATTCCTTTCTGATCCCCCGAGAGGCAATCAAATATTCCCTGGATCAACTTTACCTATAAATGTTAGTATCCAGTTATATTCTGTGTATCCAAGACCTTTTTTTAAGCAATCCACTGAGCTGGCCAGAACCAAATCTTGAGGGAGTCTATTCCACATTTTCACAGCTCTCACTGTGAAGAAACCTTTCCGTGTTTGGAGATTAAATTTCTTTTCCTCCAGACGTAAAGAGCGCCCCCCTTGTCCTCTGTGATGACCTCAAGGTGAATAGCTCTACACCGAGTTCACTATATGAACCACTGATGTATTTATACATGTTGATCATATCCCCCTTATGTATTATACATGGAGATCATATCCCCCCTTAATGTCCTCTTCTCAAGAGAGAATAAATTCAGTTCCTCTAATCTTTCCTCATAGCTGAGCTCCTCCATGCCTCGTATCAGTTTAGTTGCCCTTCTCTGTACTTTCTTCAGTTCCCCAATGTTCTTTTTGTGAATTGGTGCCCAAAACTGAACTGCATATTCCAGATGAGGTCTTACTAATGATTTGTACCGGAGTAATATGATATCTCTCTCTGGAGTCTATACCTCTTTTAATACAAGAGAGGATTTTGCTCGCTTTAGAAGCCGCAGCTTGGCATTGCATGCCATTATTAAGCTTGTGATCTACCAGAACCCCCAGATCCTTCACCATTGATTCCCCCAGTTGAACCCCCCCCCCCCAGTAAGTATGATGCATGCATATTCTTAACCCCCAAGTGCAGAACATTACATTTATCAACATAATTTGCCACATATTTGCCCAATTAAACAGAGCATTGAGGTCTGCTTGTAAGTTGAAGACATTCTGTAAGGACGTGATTCCAGTTATTGATCTGTCTTCTTGACTGCCAATAAATCATCCACATTACTATTTTATTGATCCACTGTACAATATTTTTTTTTTTAATTCAACACCGGATAAATAATTTGATGGCTTCCATAAGACAAACCTCTTCAGTGATCTTCTTTACAACTTTGTTGTAAGCATTATTTCCTGTCACTTTCAATGGGTTTCTTGAGTGAGAATTTTTAACGCCTTTGAAATCAATGTCCACCTTTTCCAGTATTGTCAGAAGTACTCAGGGATGCAGTTGAGGCCAATTCGAGGAGCTGTTGTACATCAGGAAAACGTGCAGATAATACCAAGAGAACTACTGGTGTCAATCCACGTGGTGTTAGAAGTCAAACAATCAATCTGAATCCTCACAATCAACAGAGGTTCCAGTTTTGGGAGAATGCATTAACATGTCTAGCTTTGTCAGATATTCATCTAGCAGCAGTTGCTCAACCTCAATAATGAAGTAATCAACTGAAGAATTTAGGATTTGCTGGATTTTGTTCCATTTATCTAGAAGTAGATCTAGGTCTACCACATCCATGCAAGCTTGGAACAGTATCTGTGCCAAGTGGTACTCTCTCCAATGATCTTCTAGACCATTAAAAAAAAACGGACAAAGCAGAGAGCTGTTCCCCACTGATGACCTACACAGTCTCCAGAATCATCTGCCCCACTTCTGCATTCATCAACTAAGAATTCTCAATATGTTAATCTTGGTCATTAATACAGTTTAATCTGCTTCTTGCTGAAGACTTCACGCTAAATGCAAGCCCATAAATTGTTTGTTCAAATAGCCCTCTTTCTTTATATGTCAATGCATCCTCTACAAATGCATTTTTAGAATTCTCAACTTTTGCAGCACATTCTCCTTCTAATCCCTTAATTGCTTCTTCTCATCCAAACGTCTCTAGTTTCTTTTCAGGCCATTTAGTTCAGGAGATAATCTTGCAGGTTGAATTACATAGTTTCCCTTTTAATGAGATGTGCTTTTTGTTCATGCATTGGTTGAACATAGGTAAGAACTTGGACTCACACATGGGAAGTCTCTCTACAACTCTGTCAGGCCATGAAAAAGCAGCCTCATGGTTTAAGAACTTTGAATGTTTCCAGGGTGCAAACCTAAGCAAAAGCCCAGTATTTCAAAATATTTATATATATAATTATTTATTTCAAATTTAAATTATATAGCAGTATCGCTATTATCACAATGGAAACCTGGTGGTTTTTTTAGGATAATTCCAGACATCAATGTAATTGTTTGTGTGGACAACTGATAAAATTATGACTCGTATGTACTTTTGCATGTGTCTTTTTTGTGTAGGCCACTTGGAGCTACTTTCAAGTATTTTATAACAGTTATTTTGTCTCATTGATTATTGTGATACCTTAAGCTTTTTCTGTATAAGCAGTCCTGTACTGGAAAACTAAACCTGACAAAGGTTTTACTCTCTCACCAATCTACCCAAAACTATAAAAATTGGCTTTGGGCAAGCTTAAAGTAAGCAAGAGCAGTGAAACACAGCCATTGTGTTGTACTTTTCAGTAGAAGGCAGTGACAGCAAATGTAACGAGAATATGGTTGCCCCTATGGACAATATAACAAACCATATTGAGGACCAAGTTGTTAAAACCCAGGCAACCAATGATACTAATATTTACATTAAATTGATTAATAAATCCACATTTTAATCTTAAAATAACTGCCAAAAAACACTCTATTTTCCCCTTTGAAATTTTTTCTTCCAGTGCAAAAAATTCTAATATAGAAACTACCTGGAAAAAACACTAAAAAGAAACCTGCTATAAAGAAGTTTATAATAAAAAAGGAAAAAGAAAAAAAAAAAAAAAAGATTTTTTTTCCAAACATAGATTCACAATTGTTTTTCTATTTTTTTGCAATATGGCTGCAGCAATCTGACATTCTTATTAAAAAATGGGAGGAGACAAAAACCACAATAAAATTATACATACATACATATACACACACACACACACACACACACACACACACACACACACACTCTTTTATAAACTATTTTTTGGACATGGGGTTTCAATAGGTGATGGTGTTCTACTACAGAAGGAATTTTAACTGTGGAATGTCTGTGTCAAATGCTTTTAAAACCAACATTGCTTGGTTATTCTCAAACTCCAATTCAGTCCTTTCCTAGCACCATGTTATCCTGTGCTGTGGTCACCAGACATTGCACATTATCCTAGCACTCTGTGATCCTGTGCCGATAGCACACATTCTAAACCCAGCCATACATGGACCGAACCAGTTCCACAGGGACCAGTTGAATTTTGGTCCATGTGTGGATGCTCCTCCTCGACAGAAATCCTAACAATCGACTTCAATCAAATGGGCTTGTTGGAAATGTTCCTTCAATTAGCAGTTGCAGCTGCTGATCAGTGTATTCTGACAGAGGAGAGTCCCACTGTCAGAGTGCATTGGGGTTGAAGTGCACAACATCGGGTGCAGCTGTAGCTAATCAGCTTCTAACTTCAGCTTGTTCAATAAAATCTGTCATCAGATTGGTTTCTAGGCAGAGCTGCACCAGATTTTGCACTCTAACATTTTAGTACATCAACCCCAATGTCTCAGCGGGGAGGGTTCCTGACTGACTGGGAGGATTCATCTGGACTGTGTGGATAGAGGACTCCATTCTATGGCCAGCCTAACAGAACACATGCCATTCTTATACCACTATGTGATTTTGTCCACATAGAAGTCTATATAATCATGAGATCACTGGACTTTTGTAATAACAGCATCGGATGACCTTGTGATAATCTACAGTAAACTGATCACTAAACATCAGATCTATTCCAAGCACGGAGTGATCCATCCCTGATAATCACTGAACATTACAAATAATCCCAGCATTGTCAGGTCATGTCCTGGTTGGACATAGCAAGGAGTTCCTTGGGCCCTACCACTGTCCCAATAAATATTTTCTAAACAGCCAAGAGATTAGACCTTGTCCTACATACCTAAACCAGGCACGAAAGACTCACTTGAAATGTTAATCTATAGTCTGGTCCACCTCAATGAATGTTCCCTTCAAGTGTAACAGAACTGGAAACAGCCAAACCTGTTAGAAGGTAAAAGTTGCCCCTAATAATAAATATACTATCTGCTCCTGAGAAAGTGAAGATCACCTCTTCATCATAGGAGGGCTTCCCAGTACACTGTGGCAGTGAAAGTCCATATCTACGTATGTCTCAGCTATACATCCAGGCTGTACCCTGCGGTGCTCAGCTTCCTCTCCTGCGCTCCGGACACTCGACCCTTGGTCCGATATGGCTGCTGACATTCTTTGTCTGTCAATGGGGGGTAATATTGTCTGTAGCACAGGTAGGCAAAGAAGAGTCCAATGAGAGCTCCAACCACCACATCTAAAATAAATGGAGACAATAGGCAGTCAGAATACAGTATATTACAACTGTTCTAACTATTCATCCATTCTAATGTACAATCTAACAAACTGCATGATATATGAACCCTCTCTGTGGAGGCAATGCCGTTTAATGTCTCCTCATGCTCTGAAAACAGGCCACTCTAAACGTGGTCATTTTAAAAAGGTAAAATATCTGACCAATACCCCCATCCCGCCCACCTGTCATACCATGGGGTTCACGGATTGGACAGTAAGTACTGTGAGTGACTGTGCTGCTGGGAGCATCATCTGTGGTATACTCCAAGATGTTATGGAGGGCAAAAGGGGAGTAAGGGGGGGTGGAATTAGAGAAATACAGTTACAACATAGTGGCAGTTTTAAACACTTACTGCAAAAAATGAAAGGGCGTCTTAACGCATCTTACATTGCCCATAGATGGATTGACTCTCGGCCAGTTCAGCAGGGACCTGGACTTCAGTACAACCAGCCTGTCAGACTTTTAGCATGCAATTACTGCTGGTGGCTGTAGCCGCCAGCAGTAATCAATGTATTCTGTCAGCAGGGAAGGCTCCCTGCGAACAGAACAAAACAGAGCTGTGGGAGGGATTCCCCCATCAACTGACTTTATTGATTGCAGAATTAGGCAATTCTCTGTCCTGCAACCCATAGTTGGCTCGCCTTAGTCACATCAACTCCAGAATTTAAAAGAAAAAAAAAAAAAAGGGTCAATTTCATCGCAGTTCAATGAACACAGTGGAAGTGATTTACTTAGTTAATTTGTACTCTCAAAAAACAGTCACATATGTGGGGATTTATGTGTTACTAAACCCAGGACCCTGCATTCACTATATCTGGTCTCCCACACTACAAAACATGGAAATGCAATTTTAGTAAATATAAACTGCTAAATACCTTTTCTCATCAGCATTTAGAGCAGTCTTGTAACGTCTATCAGTGTCTGGCTGAGCACTGGTTAAAACTTGTAGGAGGAGTTTTCATTTTCCTCTGACTGTCCTGTGAGGCTGCATAACCCCTGACCCTCAGTGTGGATTGGTCCTGTGCTGATCACACGCACCCTCCCAAATTTAAAAAAAAAAAAAAAAAAAAAAAAAAAAAAAAAAAAAAAAAAAGCTCTCTAGTCATATACACTAAACCAGGGGTAGGCAACCTGTGGCTCTCCAGCTTTTGCAGGACTACAAGTTCCATCATGCTTCTGCAAGTCATAGCTGTAACTGTCAATTTTGCAATGTCTCATGGGAAATGTAGTTCCACAACAGCTAGAGAGCCGCAGGTTGCTTACCCCTGTACAGAGTGACTCCTAGAGCTCTGTACTATCAGCCGGTGGATTGGGGACATTAGAAGAAGGGGAGGATCTGAGAAGACAGGATCACACAGCTTTTTTGGCTCTAAGGGTGATGATAGCTTCTCTCTGCTCTCAACAGAGAGCGGGACTGTCAGTCACCACTGTCTGCTCAGCACCCTCAGCTCTCACTGGAGTGCCGGGCGAGGGAGCGGCTGGCTCAGGCTTTCAGCGCTTCGCTGAGAGGCGGAGCCAGGTGCCGTTCCAGACTCGGAGGTGGATCCCAAATTTCTTTCCCCAGCCTTCAGTTCGCTGTCAGCGGGTCACAGGAGAGCAGAATGGACTGCACTCCTGTGATCCACAGGAAAAAGTACAGCCAAAAAAAGCTTTGGCTGTACTTCTCCTTTAACACCTGGTACCTGCATGGCAATACTGAAGTCTGCTCAGACAACCTTTCTAGTACATGGCAATGTTTGAAGTGCAAATTGTTTTCTTTTTAGGAAACATAAATGAGTCACAAATCCATGTATTTCTACCCAAGCATATGATGGGGACATGGCACAGCAGGAGGTTAACTTCTGTGTAAACTGTATGCCAAGACAGATTGAGATACAGGAGGATTAAATGTTTTTTAAATTTCGATTTGTACACAAACATTTTCCTCCCACTCTTCCTCATAGATCATGGAGGACTCCAATCATAAGAAAAAGGACCACTATGTAAACCTGGAAAGCAGGAGCTCTGGGTCAAGCTTTTCATATTTTTTTTCATATTCTTGAAGATCATCTATGTATTTTTCATCTTAAGCCCAGCCTCAAATTTCCCCGGTTACTGACACTTTACCCCTGCTGAACCCAGTGTACTTACCCTGCCAGTGGTGCTTGTAGTCACATGTGCGGGACAATGCAATAGCGATAGCACACAGCAGCGGGAACAAGAAGGTGCACAGCCGCCAGGAATGTCCACGACCAGTGGAGGAAAAACTTCCCAGCTTCCCGGCAATATAAAGAGCTGTGAAGCCCAGCCCTGCAAATGCAACTGATGAGGGGAAAAAGAAACAGAACATAAGTCAGAAGTATAGAAAAGAAAGGGGGGGGATATCGATTATTCCTATGGTTGGGGTTGCACATGTGCAACATTTCAGAGCAATAAATCTCATTATAAAGTGACCCCTGACCACTGACAGATGTCCTCATACAACTACCCTCTTCACAGGGTGACAACACTACCATGCTATTTTACTGCAGGACTAACAGTGTTGTCACTATTACTAGTAGAAAATGAAAAAGGACCTGATATGCGTCTGTTGTATCATGTACTTGTGCTAAAAAGGTTCCTGTTCTCTTTGCATGGCTTCCTTTGTGTGAAATTCCTGGTGATCCTACCTGTCCCCCTGCTTTCCCATTTCAAACTAACCACACTAGGCATGAGAGCACATGCATCTCAGGGTGGTCAGTTTTCTGGCTGTGCCTGCCTGTCCTCCAATGTCCAACACTTGTGCTGACATTATCCCCCTGCACAGCTCTTCTCTGGGAAGGTCAGTGTCCTACTGTTTCTCTGCCTCCTGCAGAGGCACCCCCTTCAGTCTCCACCCCCAGCTCTCTAAGCCTCTTATGCAGCTGAGAACATAGGTCATGTGATCACACACAAAACAAAAAATTTGATTTTTATAATATAATACACACACACACACACATATATATATATATATATATATATATATATATATATATATATATATATATATATATATATATATATATACATACACACACAGTTGTGTTCAAAATAATAGCAGTCAGACATCACTAACCTGATCAATCACTGTTTTTGGTAGAAATGATACTTCTACATGGCAAATAATTTACTAGCAGGTGTAGTAGAGTAATAGAAATCCAACAGACCCAACAGTCATGACATGCATGCTGCTGATTCTGTGTAATTGAATCACTAATTGAAAGTAGCATGTTCAAAATAATTGCAGTGTGGAGTTATTAGTGAGGTCATTCATTCTTTGAAAAACAGGTGGCAATTATTGCCCTTATTTAAGGAAGGAAGGCAGCAAATGTTGTACATGCTGGTTACAGTGCATCTCTCTGTGAAATACTGAGGAAAATGGGTCGTTCCAGACATTGTTCAGAAGAACAGCGTACCTTGATTAAAAAGTTGATTGGAGAGGGGGGGAAAACATATAAAAAAGTGCAGAAAATGCATTTGTGTGTATGGAAATAAAAGCTATTAGAAGGATTTTGAGCTTTATTCACTTTTTTCAACACACTGCTATTATTTTGAACACAACTGTTCTCTCCCTCTCCCTCTCTCCCTCAACAGGTTGTTTTAAAAAAGGGGAGGATTCACATTTACTTTAATGCTAGTGACAGAGTGCATCTTATATCATTGTAAAATGATAAGTTCACCTTTCAACAAAAAATAATAAATGCAAATTTTGAAGGTAAATGTGCATTTTATTTTTTGGTGTAAGCCTGGAATGCATTGCACCAATGATCAGCAGATCGCTGGTGTCATGCAGGACTCCTGCAGACCTGTTAGTGTATCTGCTTGCTCGTAACTCGTACGAGCAAACTTGTAGTTTCTTATTCACAGAATACAGTGAATGAGTGATATGCCCTGCTTGGCTGAGTTTTATTTTTTTATTTTGACAGCTAGTGGGGGGCGATGTGGGAGAAGATCCCCCGCTAGCTGTCAGAGCAGGGGAAATCGTGGGGTGCAGGGCCGGTTATTTCATAACACGTAATATGGGTGTAACATGCAACAAGTTATGAAAGGTGAACTGATCCTTTAAATTATGTCCATAGTTGCATTGAATACAATAGCATGACGCAGTGAGGGGGGTGCAAAATCTGGTGCAGCTCTGCATAGAAACTAATCAGCTTTCAGATTTTATTGTCAAAGCTTAATTGAACAATCTGAAGTTAGAAGCGGATTGGTTGGGTAAGTATATATTTACAGCAAAATCCATCAAAGGCCTGAAACCTGGGGTGCAGTATTTTTTTAAATCCAAAATATGTATTTCATATTGTTTTGCATGCTTCAGTTTGTCTTCAGCATCTTCTCCCATTTTCTACACCGTTGGGACGATCCAGTTTTTCCATTACAGGGCCAGGTCAATTTTTACATTTCTATTCCTCCGCAGTGTCCAGTATGATGTGGTTCTGGCACAGATAACATACTCAGATTGGAATTCTAGGACCAGAGCTGATTACACAGCAATGTAGTCAAACAGTTCCTGCAAATTCAGGGCTGCTTATCCCACATCAATCATTGAATGGAGGAGGAGTACACCCTGACCTATGGACATATGCTCAAATAACACATGACCTTACATTGAAGAGGCTAGTTATTGGTCATAGAATTCAATTTAGAAATGAGTGAACATTTTATCTGGAAATAAATGACATTTTTGCTTACAGGAGGAGTGGCCACTGGGAAAGCTCTTTCGCCCTTCAGTCACCACTTCCGGATCACCTGTACATTCCAGTCCTGGCGATTCTCTCCCATCTGGAAAACAGCGTTGCAGAAAGTCGGGACGCGGCCTGAAGATATAACAAGAGGTCATTATCATTATGAGTGCGCAAAATTCAATGTCCCGATGCAGATTATAAATGCAGAATGCCATCTTAGCGATTTGCACGCACTATACCCATGCCGCATTCCTGTCCAGATAAAGCAAGCTCATATCTATGGGGCAGGCAGACACCTGTAGACCTGGCAGCCCTCTAATTGGTTAACAAACCTTTCCCGAATAGTGTCTCCCTCCCCACAAGACAGGATGTATAGATCTCTTCCTTTCTCTTCACTGATCAAGTATCACCATGCAATCACTTGTCTGTCATTGGTCTGAAATGTGATGGGAAATCCAATTTTTTTTTTTTAAAGTGATCACCGAAACAAGTGAGGAGACACCTGTTCCTATCACAGCGATGATTTATTTCACTTTTTGCCTCCAAGACAAATGAAGTGGCATATCCCCAACACATACAGAGAATGATAATCACATTCCCCTGGATAATCACTAGAGGGAACAATTATAAATCTG